ACACCTTTTTGCAAACCGGCCGCAGGTAGACTTGAGCCAAGAGTGGTAAGTATGACACGACCTGTTTCAGAACGTAGCCGTTCGGGTCAGTAATCGACACGTCTGGTTCCTGGATTTTGTCGGTCGGCAAGACCTCCACGTCCAAAGGGGTCGCACACAACACGATGAATCGAACACCTCGAGGAACCGTGAGTTGCTCGCTCAGTTGAGCAGAACAGACTGGGATGCGGTAAGACCAAAGACCTAAAGACAGTTGGTGTCTTAGTTGCAGGAGCTAACCAGTGGACGTACGTGCTTGTTCCGAGTGAATGCTGACGTCATAGGGAATCCTTAGCCACTCTGCCACGACATCATCAAGTCCACAGGAAAGCTTCTCCGACCCTGTAAGCCGGATTGACCTGATTGTTGGGTCAAGAAACTGGACTACCGTTTCTCTCGACCCAAACGTGGAACATCGCAGTCGGGCTATGCAGCCCACACTGTCCATGCCTGCCATTATAAGACACGCCAATAAAAATTACCAAGCCCAACAAACGGGTTACTCAATGTGGTACCGGAGTAGCAAGGGAATACAGCTGCGTGGGTCCGGCACTGCTGAGAGCTCGTTACTGAGCTCGTTGCAGCTGGCAGACAGAATTCAATTGGTCGGCTTGCAGAATTTGTTTCGTATCAAAGCAGAACCTCTCAAAGGCGAACCTCTTAAATGCAGAACCTCTCGTGGTCGAACGTGTTTTTATTGACTGATTCCGGTATCATCGAAGCTTTGATGGCCCGAGTCAAGCACACCAGTGAAGAATGTCTGGCTGTGAACCCTGCACAGTAGCCCTCAACTTCATAGGTTAAGTGTGTCGCTCGCATCAGCCGATCTGTACGGTCCAAGATAACTCGGATCGGTTTCGAGGATGTGTCTATCTGAATGCGGTGCAGCAGCTTGTTTCGGCCGCCGCGGCCTCGACGGACGCAGGCAATATGTACCAGCCCAAGATCGCCACAGGCTTCAATCTGGATGCGTAGTCCGTCTTTGACGAGGTACGGAAACAGGGGAACCGCGTCCACGATTGTTCTAGAGGCGAAGAAGCCCTTACGAACAGTAACGACCAGCATTGGATTCGGGAAGTCCTTCACCAAAGGGTAATCCGGATACCGGCTGACCTGCGGGCTCGGGCATGCCTGCCGGCTCCCCTCGCAGTTGTCTTGGCGGTGGTTCTCCTCCTCAGGGTCCTCCTCCTCCTCGGGGTTCCCGTCCTCGAAGCGGAATGTATGCACGACCGGTTCATAGCAGTCATACGTTGGATGGTGCAGGATAAAGTGGCTCGGCTTCTCCCCCTCTTCCGACCAGGTCTTATCAATGCTGAAAGATTCACCGCCCTGACCACCCACGAGAACTTCTTCGCACTTTCGCTGATCGAAAATTGCAACAACCTGGTGTGACGAGCACTGCAACTGGAACTGGGCAACTGTACCCATTTCTGCGTAGAGCCGTCCCAAGTCTCGTCCCGCATATGTCAATCCAGTGAACAGAGTGCTGACCAGCCGGGCCCCCGCCGGGATGGAGCACGAAGAATACCCCTCACTCGCTACAAAGACCACCTGAACCCACTGGTCTGTTAGTTCCGCTACCCGTCTCCAGATCCGCATTTTCCGGAACGAACCCGTCTTTACCGTAGGGTTCACCAGTTCCTCCCACGACGCATCCCACGACCCATCATCATGTGGTGGATCAGTTCGCTTTGGCCGATCGATCGTTGTCGGGTCGTTTGCTACGGGGTCGTTTGCTACGAGGTCCTCTTGCGGTGCTGAGGCTGAAGCATCGTCATCTGAAAGTTGTGGCCGATCAAGTCCGTAGAAGCAGTAACAATCGTCGTACTCCTGCTCCGGAAATTGTTCAGCGCAAGTGTCATCGTCGCGAAGTCCGATCAACCGGTGGAGGGGGCAGAGATCGCACGTCTCTGCGTCCTCAATTCGTACTACCGGGCCACGAATTATCCGGTGCCCCCTACGGTATCTCCAGTTGCTTACCGGCCACACGGTATCCGCAGTGAGGCCTTTGGTCATCTCATACACCTTTTTGCAAA